CAGCCTCAGGGAGGAAGTAACTTTGGGCTGGGTTTTATAGATAGGGTGGGCAGATTGGTACAGGCAGAGATGGGTGTTGTGAGGGTATTCCATGTGAAGGAGCTAGTGTAAACAAAGGTGCGTAGGGGCCTGCTGGCGGCACGGCAGCTGGATCTGACATCGCCAACTTTGTGGTTTGAGCCTCAGACTCGATAGCTTGAAAAACACGCCAGAGATGTGTGTGTGTTTGCGCAAATCCCAACAAGAGAAATGGAGGAGACAGGATTGGGGTGTGGCCATCCTCCATGGACGGGGGGTGGTGGTGGTGTGTGCTTTCTCACTTCCTTCCTTCCTGTGTGTCTGTCCATTAAGTACATGTGCCCACTAGCAAAATTTAAAAAAAAAAAAAGGCACATAAATGGGAAGGAGAGCCAGGTGGCGGCACGGCAGTCAAATGCAACACTCTGTGAGGCCGGTCCACACAGGAAGTTCCAGGTTCAAGTCTGGAGATGGGCGAAGCCTCGGAGTGGAGCGCAGCATCGGGACCCTGCGTGGGGTGCCGACTCTGTGTCTCTTTCTGTCTCTGTGACTCATGAAAGAAATAATAAGCTTTTAAAAAAGGCATAAGGATGGGAACATTGGAGCTTGTTCACCACGTAGTGGGTGGTCTAGAACAGAAAAGGAAGCGTGCAAAGGGGTTTATACACAGCAGCCAACTGACTTCTCTCAACGTCCTTGTAAGGTAGGTTCTGCTATCATTGCTATTACATGTGAGGAACCCGAGGCTCAGAACAGTTTAAAAAAAAAAAAAGACTAAAACCTGCCTGAGGTCTCAGAGCTAGGAGGCCGCAGGGTGTAAACTCAGCCCAGATCTATGAGACTCTAAAGCCTTGAACGCCAGACTAGGCAGCTTGCTATCTTGTAGCCAGTGACCGGCAAAAATGCCACAGTCATAGTCTTATGTCTGGACTGGATGGAAGTGGAAGGCACCTGGTGATAGAAGAATGTTCTAGAATTGCTGTATAGGTTTGGATGGAAGGAAATGAGAAGTTGAGCTGGTGTTGGGGTGGGTGCATATTTGCAAAGGAAAAAAAAATCCATCTTAGCAGGGATCTGGGGTCCTTACAGCTACACAGAGGTCGCCAACAATGTGCAGAAGGAGGAGACGGTCCTCAACATCCAGTTCGTGCTGCTGGACTGTTCGCACCTCAAGTTCTCGCTGGTGCAGCACTGCAACGAGTGGCAGAACAAGTTCACGACTCTGCTCAAGGAGATGGCCGCCGGGCGGCTCCTGGAGCTGCACACCTACCTGAGGGAGAACGCAGAGAAGTACGGGCTCGGGTGGGCCCAGGGCAGGGGCAGGCCCTGTGCCTCCCACTTACCCGTACCCTCTTTGCTTGCCTTCAGAATCAGCCACCCTCCGCAGACCCTGGAGGAACTGGGGGTCAGCTTGCAGCTCATGGAGACCCTGCAGCATGACCTGCCCAACCTAGAGACCCAGATCCCTCCCATACACGAGCAGTTCGCCATTCTTGAGAAGTACGAGGTGCCGGTTCAGGACAGTGTGAGTTCCAGCGGTGTTTGGTCCACCCTGAGTCGGGCCCAGGCCGGCAGCAGACTGTGGGTGACCCTTGTGTTGTCAGGGGGAAGAGCAAAGAGTAGTTTTGTGGGAAGGGAAGACTCAAGTTCAGAATGGGGGCTGATGGTGGCACGGTGGTAAAATATTCCTCTTGGGCCTGGTAGTTAAGTGAACTGGATCCCACATGGCTGACTGTGGTTTGAGTTTTGGACCCAGCAGTTTGAAAAGCGTGAGGGGAGAGACCAGCCGATGGCGTAATGGTTATTTCACTGGACTCCCATGTAATCAACTGTAGTTCGGGTCCCAGACCCGGTGGCTTAAAACTCTCGCTGGGTACCTGTGCATGTGTGCACAAGATCCTGAGAGGAGAATGGAAGAGAAGGAATTGTGGCATGCCATCCCCTTGAGGGTGATTTCTCACCTTCTATCTCTCTGTCTCTCTGGTGAGTGCATCTGCCCTATATAAAAAATCTCTCTGAAACAAAAAAAAGAAAGAAAGAAAGAAAGAAAGAAAGAAAGAAAGAAAGAAAGAAAGAAAGGAAGAAAGAAAGAAAGAAAAGGCATACTTGGGGGACTGGCCAGTGGTATAGTGGTTAGGGTGCTGGACTCCCACATGGGCCTACCATGATTCAAGTTCTAGACATGGCGAATTGCTTTCTTGCTTTCCATCTCTCTCTCTCTGGTCAAATTAAATAATAATAATAATAGTAATAATAATATATTTTTTAAAAAAGAAACGCATGTTGGGCCCATGTTCTTGTGTGCCCAAAATCCCAAAAGGAGGGAGAGATGGAGAAGGGATTGAAACATGACCATCCCCCATGCGGGATACTTTCTCTCTCTCTTTCTCTCTCTCTTTGGCAAGCATACACATCCACTGGTAAATTAAAAAGACTCTCAATAATGTGCCTCTCTGTGAGGCTGACCTACGTGGGGAAGTTCCAGGTTCATGCCTGGAGACATCCCCGAGTGCACTGGGCATATGTGAACCCCTGATCCTGGGCTGGCTGAGCTTCAGGGTGGGTCATGGCATCAAAATCCTATTGGGAGTGCTTCTCTCTCTCTCTCTCTCTTTCTCTCATGGAAACATACATAAATAAACTTTTTTTAAGAAGTTTAAAATGAGTACACATAAAAAATATTTAAATGCTTCTAAGAGCCAAAGTTAAAGTAAATGGTATTTCCAGTCACCTGTGGGTTCCTTTTACATGCAGCAACTCACTGCTTGGTTTCTTTGGGCCTCACTGGTGGCACATGCGACACTTGCCTGTGGGCTCCAGTCTGGAGGGTCAGAAAAGAGTCCATAAGAGCACCGGGGAGAAGCACAGACCTCCTGCTCATGGGTCGACCCTCCCTCTTTGTTGTCCCCAGGTGCTGGAGATGCTGGAAAGTCTCAATGGGGAGTGGGTCATCTTCCAGCAAACGCTGTTGGACAGTGAACAGATGCTGAAGAGACATAAGGAGAAATTCAAGACAGGCCTTATTCACTCAGCCGATGATTTCAAGAAGAAAGCACACAATCTGCTGGAGGATTTTGAAGTGAAAGGTACTCCTTTCTCCATCTCTTCTCTTTTTTTTTTATCTTTTAAGATTTTATTTTATTAATTATTTTTGTCACAGGGCATGTGCACTTGACCAGAGAGAGACAGAAAGAGGCAGTGAAAGGGAAAGTGAGAAATCACCTCCCAGGGGAATGGCCACACTGCAATCTCTTCTCTATTCTCCTCCTGGAGTTTTGGGCATGCACGCACACAGCAGTATGATTTTCAAGCTGCCAGGTCTGGGACTCAAAATGCGGTCGGTTGTGTGGGAGTCTAGCACTTTAGCCACTACACCATCTGCTGGTCCTTCCCATCTCTTCCCTTATTCTTTTCTTTTTTTTTTTTTTTTTAAGTTTTTTTTTTATAGGATGCATGTGCTCTCTAGAGAGGGAGAGAGAGAGAGAAAGAGTGAAAAATCACCCCCTGGGGGAATGGCCACACCACAATCCTTCTCTATTCCCTTCTTGGGATTTTTGAGCATGCATGTACATGCACCCAGCATGTTCCTCAAGCCACCTGGGATTGGGACTCAGCGCACCCAGCTGTGTGGGATCCAGCCACCTTAGCCACTGTGTCACTGGCTGGCCTGTACCTCTTTCCTCCTTTAGCCTTTGTTGTCAGTCTTCAAAGCTTCAGTCCTGGGAAGGCAAGAACAAAAGGTGGATGGGGGACAAAGACTGTTCTGGGGAAGGGAAAGGGCCGTGGCGTTTGGGGCTTTTGCTGGGAAAAAAGGCGACAAGCACACCTGTTGTTGTTGATTTCTGGCTGGAAGGCACTAGGCCAGCTCGCAAAGATTCCAGTTTTCTCATACTGACTTCCCATGTCCTAGCCGCTTCTGATTCTTAAGCCACAGTTAGCAATTTTTACTAAGGTTAACCATCGTCCTTCCGATGTGGTTCCACTTATGCTCCTTTCCTCCTGTCATGTGAGGAGAGAAGTGAGGTTTGCTCTCTGAGAGGAGAGCCATGGCTGTCCCCTTCAGTTTGCCGTGGCCTTGGGTGGGAAGCTGAGCTGCATCCTGAACTTCCCACAGGCCCCTTCACCAGCAACGTGGGGTATGCGGTTGCCCTGGACCAGATCGCACAGGTGCGGGCCACACTGCTGGCCATGCGGGAGGAAGAAAACCTCCTCCGCTCCAACCTGGGCATCTTCAAGATCGAGCAGCCGGCCTCCAAGGACCTTCAGAACCTGGAGAAGGTGATGTGCTGAGCCGGACCCCTCCTAGCCAGGGACAAGGGGCGGGGACGCAGAATGGGTCCTAAGTGCCAGGAAAAGCACTGGGACCAGGGAGGGCGCTCAAGGGGAGCTTGGATTTTTTCATTCCTTTTCTGCAACTGAGATAAAATTCACATAACAAAATCAACCACTTAAAGTGAGCAATTCAGTGGCATTTAGTATATTCACAGTGTTGTGCTACCGCCATCTCTATCCGGTTCCAAGGCATTCTTATCATCCCAGAATGAAACTCCATACCCGTTCGCAGTCACTCCCCACCCCTCGCTGCCCCCACCCCTGCCCCTGTCAGTCACTAATCTATTTTCTATTTGCCCGTTATGGACACTCTGTAGCAACTGCACTGTACATGAGACCTTTTGTACCTGCCTTCTCTCTCCTGGCATGTCTTCAAGCTTCACCCACGTTGTAGCAATGGTTCCGTCCCTTGTACGGATTCGCCATATTTTGCTTATCCATTCTCCAGCTGATGGACATTTGGGTTGTTTCCACTCTTTTTGTGATAGTGAGCAGTGCTGCCGTGAACACGTGTCTGTGTGTTTTGGCTTGAACATTAGTTCCCAATTCTTTTTCTTTTTCTTTTTGCCAGAGGGTGTGTGTGTGCTTGCCAGAAAGAAACAGAGAGAGAGAGAGAGAGCGCGCACCCTCGAATGGAGTGTGGCACACTGCAATCCCTTCTCCTCCCTTTCTCCATCCTGTAGGGGTTTGAGGCACACATGCACAGGTACTTGGTGTGTTTTTCGAGCCACTAGGGCTGGGATTTGAACCGGGCAGTTGGCCATATGGGACCCAGTTCTCTTAACCACCAGGTCACAGGGCCAGCCCCAGTTCCCAATTCCTGTGGATGTAAATCTAACAGTAGAATTTCTGGATCATACGGGAAGTCTATGTTTAACGTTCTGGGGGACTGCCAAGCTATTTTCCGCAGCAGCTGCACCATCTTACGTTCCCACTAGCAGTGTACGTGGGTTCCTGTTTCTTCATATCCTTGCCAACACTTATTTTCCTTTTCTCACTGCTTCTAGCCATCCTAGTGGGTGTGAAGTGGTATCTCACCGAGGCTCTGATTTGCATTTCCCTAATGACTAATGATGTTGAGGATCTTCTCCTGCTTGTTACTCGAGGAGCTCTTACGACAAGCCACTAGAGGAAAAGTGTGCAGAGGAGGCAGCTCTGGAGGGAAAGCTTTGCAGATGACGGGAGCGAAGGGCCTGTGGGCTGTCGGTGCGGGAGGGCAGGGGCCGCCGTCCCTGATGCCCTGCTGCTCTGGCTGCGTAGGAGCTGGACGCTCTCCAGCAAGTCTGGGAGATCACGCGGGACTGGGAGGAGAACTGGAACCAGTGGAAGACCGGCCGGTTCCTGACGCTGCAGACGGAGGCCATGGAGACTATGGCCCACGGGCTGTTTCGTCGCCTCACAAGACTGGCCAAAGAGTACAAGGTAGGTGGAGGCTGGAGGAGGTGGCAGCAGACAAGCTGATTGAGAACAGGGCCAGCAGGGGATGGTCACTGGGTCTTCTGATGCTTCCCAATTTTGCTCAGGACCGAAACTGGGAAATCATTGAAACCACTCGCTCAAAAATAGAGCAGTTCAAGAGGACCATGCCTCTCATCTCAGACCTGCGAAACCCTGCCCTGAGAGAGAGGTGAGGCTGCTCTCCCGCACAAGTGACTGCTCTGTTTCCCTCTGGCTTGTGCCATCGCTCGCTTTGTTCAATTCTGTCCTCCGTGGTGTTTGCAGCTCTCCCTTCTCCTCCGTCCACATGCATGTCTCTCTCTCTCTCTTTCTTTCTTTCTTTTTTTTTTTTTTTTTTTGAGAGATTTTGCTATAGGGCACGTATGCTCACTGGAGAGGCAGAGAGAGACAGAGAGATAGAAAACGAGAAATCACCCCTCTGAGGGGGATGGCCACACCACAATCTTTTCTCCATTCTCCTTTTGGGATTTTGGGCATGCACATACATGTACTGGGTGTGAGTTTCAAGCTGCTGGATCCGGGACTCGAACTGCAGTCACCCATGTGGGAGTCCAGCAGCATCATCATTATGCCATCCTCTGGCTCCCGCAGTTCCTAGCTTACAAATGGTTGTGAGAATTAAATGAGATGTGTCATGTAAATCACTTAGCCCGGCACAGTAATTTGCGCTGCACACGTGGTAGGTGCCTTCACGCCCTCCAGGGAACCTGCTCCTAGAGGGATCACCTTGCCCTTTGTTTCAGCCCAGTGTGTGAGATTGCGTCTTTGAGCCTAGTTAGTAAAAGGGGTTGACTTGTGAATTAGAAAATGCACAGAATCACAGTGTCTCAGTGAGAGAAAGCCTAGAGAGCAATGCTACACTTCCCAGGAGGCCCTGGCGTCTGGCCTCCTGAGCAGACCTCCTGTCTCGGCTGCAGGCACTGGGACCAGGTCAGGGATGAGATCCAACGGGAGTTTGATCAGGAATCTGAAAGCTTCACCCTGGAACAGATTGTGCAGCTTGGGATGGATCAGCACGTGGAGAAAATTGGGGAGATCTCTGCCTCAGCAACAAAAGAGCTGGCTATAGAACTGGTATGGCCCAGTCCTCTCCCCTGACCCCACTTCCTGAGCCTCTCGGAGCACAGGCTTCCAGCTGATGGCCCTGCCAAGCTCCTGTTCGCCCTGGGGACTAGACACTTGATTGTTCTGTTCCCCATTCCTCTCCACAGGCGTTACAAAACATTGCCAAGACCTGGGATGTGACTCAGCTGGACATAGTGCCCTACAAGGATAAGGGCCATCACCGGCTCAGGTGGAGGGGCTTGGGGTTCTAGGAGAACAGAGGGCTGTGTGACGCGGGCTGCGGACCTGGGACCACGGTTGGGCAGATGAGGATGGACTGTGACTTTGACTCTTTGTGTCCCAGAGGTACAGAAGAAGTATTCCAAGCACTGGAAGATAACCAGGTGGCTCTGTCTACCATGAAAGCGTCTCGTTTTGTCAAGGCCTTTGAGAAGGAAGTGGACCACTGGGAACGCTGCCTCTCCCTCATCTTGGAGGTCATCGAGATGGTGCTCACCGTGCAGCGTCAGTGGATGTACCTGGAGGTCGGGACGCACGCCCGAGCCCTTCCTACTTTCTGCTGCTTCTCCTTTACTTGGTCTGGTCCTTGCTGTCTGTGCTGTTATTGGCCTTGTTTTCCCGTCTTTAAAGCCACGATTTGCTTAGGACCCAGCCATCTGTGCCTCAGTTATTACTGCTCATCTTAGATTCTCATCTGATGACCCATTGTTCGTCTTCCCTTGTTCTTACTCCATTTTTCTTCTTGGACCTAAGTACCTGGCCTCCCAACTCCAACTTCCTTTCTAGAACATGAGCATCTTGGCCTTTGGCTTCCAGTGTTCTGTATTTTCTTTTCTTTTTTTTAAAAAAGAATTACTAATTTTAATTTTGTTTGTTCATGCATTTATTTTAATTTGACCAGAGAAAGACAGAGAGAAAGTGAGGGAAAGTGAGAAAGCAAGTCACCAGGTCCAGGACTCGGACCATGGTCAGCCGTGCAGGGAGTGTCCAGGGCCTTGACCATCATGCCACCTGCTGTCCCCCAGTGCTCTGCATTTTCTACTCAGTTGTCAGCCTTGGTCTGGGAACAGGGAGCAGAGGGTGGCGAGTGTGTGAGAAACCACGTCTCCTGATTCTTGTCCTTCAGAACATCTTCCTGGGAGAGGACATCCGCAAGCAGCTGCCCAATGAGTCAGCCTTGTTTGACCAGGTCAACAGCAACTGGAAAGCCATCATGGATCGGATGAACAAGGACAGCAACGCTCTCCGGAGCACCCACCACCCCGGTCAGTGCTCCGGACCCCTTGCCCTGGCAGCCTCCCGGGTAGAGCTAACGTGGAGGTGAACTCACGGCCACGTGCTTCATCTGTGACAGACTGGCTGCCGTACTATCGTAGCACAGCTCCTCCCAGCACCATTGCCTCTTCTTTTTGATTTTCTCCTATCTTTTTTTTTTTTTTTTAATTTGCCAAAGGGTACATCAGTCACCGGAGAGGGAGTGAGGGAGGGCTAGCAGGAGGGAGAGAGACAGGGAGAGAGAGCACTCCCGTGGGGCATGTTTATGTCACAGTCATTTTTCCATTTCTTCCTCCTTTCTGGATTTTGAGCGTGCTTTTCCAAGCTGCTGGGTCTGGGACTTAAACTGAGCAGTTGTCCTTTAGGGTCCAGCTTGCATAACCACCAGGCCATGGGCTGGCCCTGCTTTCTTTGCTTTTATTGCCAGAGGCATGTGCATTTGAGAGAAAAAGAGAGAGAGGCAGAGAGAGGATCCCTCAGTGGGGTCTGGTCATGCCACATTCCTCTTTTCAACATTTCTCCTTGTAGTCAGGATTTGGGACACACACACACATGCTCCTGGCATGTTTTTCAAGCTACAGGGGCCAGGATTTGAACGGTTGGCCATGTGGAATCCAGCTTCCTTAACCACTGTGCTATGGGGCCAGCCTAACGATCCCATCTTCTAAGCATTAAATAATAACTCATGACTAGCTATTGGTAATGCAACAGTCTTCAATGTCTGACCCACACAGGACGGTCCCGAGTTTCAATCTGAAGGCCTCCCTGTTGACACTGGGTATGTGTGCCCATGATGCGATCTGGGCTGGCTAAGGTGGGGGTAGGTTGCAGCATGAAGACCCTGTCGGGGTTGCTGTTTCTCTCTCTTTCTCTCCCATGGAAGAAATTTAAAAAATGAATGTTAAAAAAAAAAGAAGAGTCATGACCAGCCAGTGGTATGGTGGTTAAGGCAGCTGGATCCCACATGGCTGACTGTGCAGTTCAAGTCCTGGACCCAGCAGCTTGAAAAACACACCAGGCACATGTGCATGAATGCTCAAAATCCTGAGAGGAGAATGGAGGGGGAGGGACTGCACTGTGGCCATCCCCTCTGTAGAATGATTTCTCACTTTTTCTCTCCCTCGTCCCCCTCCATGAACTCATATGCCCTATCTTAAAATAAATTAATTAATTAAATTAAATAATAGCTATTTCGAAGGGGTTTTGTAGGGCTAGTAAAGAGGTGATACAGTGCAGCATCACTGTGGACTTAGTGCTGGAGTGATAGCGCCGGCCTCGTAAGCCCTGGCTGGGACGGGCTCTTGTGAGCTGATTCACGCGGTGAGCACGATCGGAGAGAGAAGGCGAGTGAGAAGGGACAGCACAGACACAGCACTTGTCACATCAAACGGCACAGACTAAGGCCTTGGTGACTGAGCACTTCTGTTGTTATGACTCTGACTCTCATTAGTTCATTAGATGAGCTAGTCTTTAGTGCAGGTCCTCTGGTAGGCCTGGGGATAGGGCAGGGGATGGACACACGGTGAGGCCTACTGAGGAGAAGCCTTCTGGCAAAGGGCTTTATACTGCCTCGGGGCCATCTACCCATTCTTCATTTCCCCAAGTGCCTTGAGTGTACACACCTAAACTTCTTTTATAATCGTCAGAGTATGTGTACCTTTGCCAGAGAGAGAGAGAGAGGGAGAACGTACCCCCTAACGGGGTGTAATCACTTTTTCTCCATTTCTGTCTTGTCCAGATTTGGGGCACACATGCACACGTGCCTGGTATGTTTTTCAAGCCACCTGGCTAGGACTAGACTAGGAATAGGACTGTTGTTCTTAGACTGATGTGAGATGCAGTTATGTTAACGAATCACAGAGGAGGTGTCATGTAATCACCACTCAGTAAAGGATGAGTGGAGAGAATGAAATAAACATGGTAGAGATCGGGGATGCTTCTTTTCTTCCAAAGACCTTATGCCAATTTGTACCCTCACACTCAGGAGCTCCCAAAGTTGGGATCCTGGTTCTCCTCAGGGCGATGGTAAAAAGGCCATCAAATGTCATTCATTACTCTTCCCCCCCAGGTCTTCTGGACACTTTGATAGAAATGAACACCATCCTGGAGGATATTCAGAAGTCCCTGGATATGTATTTAGAGACCAAGCGCCATATTTTCCCCCGCTTCTACTTCCTGTCCAATGATGACCTGCTGGAGATACTGGGCCAGTCGCGCAACCCAGAGGCCGTGCAACCACACCTCAAGAAATGCTTCGACAACATCAAATTGCTGAGGATCCAGAAGGTCAATAGAGGTGGTCATGATGGGATGGAGGGCATGTGGAGGAGGACACTATCAGGGTATTCAAGGCTTTGTGGGAAACCATGTCTCCCAACAAGAGGGTGATATTGAGTAATGATTCGATCCTCAAGGGCTAAGCCTTTTTTAGAATTGGTATGGCTGAGAGGAGGGCACAGGAGCAGAAAATCCCCTCAAAAGGCCCAATACTAGGGACTAGCAGTTAGCGTAATGGCTATGTTGCTGGACTCCCACATAGTCAACCGCGGTTCGAGTCCCGGACCTGGTGACTTAAAACTCATGCCGGGCGTGTGTGCATGCATGCCCAAGATCCGGAGAGGAGAATGGAGGAGAAGGGATTGTGGCGTGGCCATCCCCCTGGGGGGGGGTGGTGATTTCTTACTTTCTGTCTCTCTGTCTCTCTCTGTCTGGCAAGCGCACGTGCCCTATAGCAAAAACTTCTCCAAAAAAAGAAAAAAAAAAAAAAAGGCCCAATACTAGGGCCAACTTGGTGGTATAGTGGTAACGTGGATCCATATGGAAGATCACAGGCTCGGGTCCCTGGTCGGCTTATTCACCCTAGACTTGTGCCCATGAGCCTGCTTGGCTGGGGGGGGGCTGGAGGAATTGTGGTGAGAGTGTTCTGGGGGTGTGTGTCTTTCTCTCATTCTCTCATGAAAGAAATAAACCTTTTTTTTTTTTTTTTAGCCCAATAACTTCTAGGTATTCTAAGAATAGCAGGCCATTAACAGTGTCTCTTTCCTACAGGTTGGGGGGCCCAGCAGCAAATGGGAAGCTGTGGGGATGTTCTCGGGTGACGGCGAGTATATTGATTTCCTCCACTCGGTACTTCTTGAAGGGCCTGTGGAGGTGAGTTGTGGTGAGGGCCTGAGCCAGGCTGATTCTTCTTCCCTTTAGAAAGTTCCCTTGGCTCTGTGAGGAGAGGACATTTCCACGAAGGGCTGTTGGTTGCTCTTCCCCTTCCACCTGCCGTTCCTGACAACTAGACCTCTCTGCCTTGAACCTCAGTTTCCTTCTGAAAGTCAGAGGGTCTGCCACCTAGCCTCCATTGCTCTCGGGGGCTCAGGCCACTGTGGCCCAGTTCCTGTGAGGGTCCAAGCGCTGGAGCCCTATTTCCTGAGTACTTTCCCTTTGAAGGGGAACCTTGTCTCTGACCCTGAGGCCGAGCCATCCTGTTCTTTCACCTCCCCCCAGTCTTGGCTTGGCGAGGTGGAACGGACCATGAGGGTGACCCTACGGGACCTTCTCCGGAACTGCCGCATAGCCCTCAAGAAGTTCCTCAACAAGAGAGACAAGTGGGTGAAGGAGTGGGCCGGCCAGGTGAGCTGAGACGGATAGAAGTGGGGGAACCAGAAAGCTGGAACTTAAAGGAGCCGCGAATGGAGAGACAGAATCTTGAGTCTTGGGCTAGTCTGTGGTGTGGTGGTTAAGGTGGCTGGAACCCATATGGCCAACTGTGTGGTTTAAATCTTGGATCTGGAGGCTTGAGAAACATCTGGGGCACATGTGCATGCATACCCCAAATCCCCAAAGGAGAGAGAAGTGGAGGAGGAGAGATTGTGGCGTGACTGTCCCTGGGGGGGGGGGTGGTAGTCACTTTCCTTTCTTCTCTTTCTGACACTCTCACAAGCACTCATGCCCTCTGACCAAATGCACAAAACAAAACTCAATCTCACAAAACACAGGGTCTTAGTTCCCCATTCTGGGCTGTACTCTGCCCCTACATGCTGAACCCTTAGTTCCTACCGTAGGCACACACTCCACACTTCAGAGCAGGTGAGGGGCATCCTGGAAGACGCCGGGTTACTGTGGTGGCCGAGGACAGGGCCTGGGAATACAGCTTCTGCACAGGCCCAGGTGGTGATCACTGCCAGTCAGATCCAGTGGACAGCCGATGTCACCAAGTGCCTGGTGACAGCTAAGGAGCGGGGAGACAAGAAAATCCTCAAGGTCATGAAGAAGAAGCAGGTTGGCAGCTCTACGGGTCTAGGAGAGGCCGGAGTGGAACTGGAGGGAGGGAGGTGATTAGTTCCAGCCAGAATTAGAGATGGGCTGGTGGGGGAGGGCTAGAGGGAGGGCGCTTTGTGATTGGAAACCCAGTGAGGAAAGTTTGGAGGGGTGCGGATTGCTGATTTGCTGGGCCCGAGACTAGCGCTGGGCAGGGACGGCTGTGATTGGGCACGTGATCTGGCACGTGATCGGGCACGGGCTGCATTGCTGTTGCCCTAGGCTCTGTCCCTCCTGGCCTCATTCCGCAGGTGTCAATACTGAATAAGTATTCAGAAGCCATCAGGGGGAACTTAACCAAGATCATGAGGCTTAAAATCGTGGCTCTGGTGACAATAGAAATCCACGCCCGGGATGTGTTGGAGAAGCTTTATAAGAGTGGCCTCATGGATGTCAACTCCTTTGACTGGCTCAGCCAGCTTCGGTTCTACTGGGAGAAGGTGCCAGATGGGCTGACTCCCTACTCTTCTACCTGAAACCCGATCCTAATGCTTTCATGAAGTTCCTGATCCCTAAATACAGTGACATCCAACCCAGCCCTTAGTCCTAACACAGTGCTCTAATCTGGTTCTTAACCCTGTCTTACCTCCTGAATCAGGAGTGGCAGATCATTGTTCTAGTCAGTGCTCACTATGGGTGCCACTTGGGGACACAGAGAGACTCCAGGCAGCGCTGCAATGGGTTGGGGTGGACATGCAAGTGAAACCCATTTTCCCATCTCGGCCATAAACCATCCTCTCCTGCCAACTCTAGGGTGGAGCCCCTGTGTTCTAACTGCAACCTCCCTGCTGTCCCTGATCCCTGCCCTCACACCCCTCAGCTCTGATTCTTCCTCCAAGTCCGCCTCTCCTATTCTTCCCTGTTTCCCCCAGGATCTTGATGACTGTGTGGTCCGCCAGACCAACACTCAATTCCAGTACAATTATGAGTACCTGGGTAACTCCGGCCGGCTTGTCATCACCCCCCTGACAGACAGGTCTGCTGTGTGACATGAACCAGATGGTTGGGGAAGGGGGCGTGGGAGCCAAGAGGCTTCCAGGAGTCTGATTTCAGTCCTGCCCTCAATCCTCAGGTGTTATATGACACTGACTACGGCATTGCACCTGCATCGAGGGGGCTCGCCCAAAGGTCCAGCAGGGACAGGAAAGACGGAGACAGTCAAGGACCTGGGCAAGGCCCTTGGGATCTATGTCATCGTGGTCAACTGCTCTGAGGGCCTGGACTATAAGTCCATGGGCCGAATGTACTCAGGGCTGGCCCAGGTCAGTCTCCTGCTGTGCTGTCCCAGAGGCCCCCTACATACCTCTTAGTCTTGGAAACTCAGGTGAAACCCCAATCTGGTTCGGTACTTTGTAGTTTATAGCGCTGCATCGCCTCAGGTCATTCTTATAACTAGGGAAGTCACTTCGCCTCCCTGAGCTTCACGCTGCTCATCTGCTCAATAACAGATGATGCAAGGATTAAACAGAAGAATGCGCATAAGCCATCTGCGGTAGACACTCAGTGCACGGGTCTCCGTGCAACCTCCAGCTTCTCTAGCTTTACCCCAGGTTGTCTGACGGGACATTCTGGCCAGAAGCTACAACAGTGCTGTTCTAGTGCGTGTCTCCTCCCCCCCTATTTTGAAGGCCCCTTTGCCTACTAAAACATTTTCAGGAAGGGCATGCTTCCTAGTGCCTTGGGGTGCCCCCTATTCACCCTGCCTCCCATCTGCAGACCGGAGCCTGGGGCTGCTTTGACGAGTTCAACCGCATCAACATCGAGGTGCTGTCAGTGGTGGCCCAGCAGATCCTGTCCATCCTTTCTGCCTTGGCTGCCAACCTCTCCCGGTTCTATTTTGAGGGCTTTGAAATAAATCTGGTGTGGTCCTGTGGGATCTTCATTACCATGAATCCTGGTAGGTGACTGGGAATAGACAGGCCCTGGGAGAGAACGGGGGCCTAGGGGACATTACTGCATCCTCCCTTTCCACACTCCACGCCAAAGTAGAGGGTGACAGAAGGATGAACTTTCTGGAAGAAGGGGAGACATCTTACTCTTCACCCTGAAGGGACCAGTGACCAACTATGTGTGCATATGTGGCCCTAGTCTTTTACGGTCCTCAGTTACCTTCTCTTTTTGGGCCGGCTCCCGGAGTTCTGGTGGATCTGCCAGCCCCTGTGCAGAGTGGAAGAATCTTGCTAAAGCACAGGCCTGAGAACTCGCTGTTCTCTAGGAGCGTCTCTCGGGGGAGAGTCTAGGAGAGAAGAGGCGTGGGAAGGGGTTTAGGTACTGAGAGAACCAAAGAGGCAGCTGCAATTCCTGTCAGGATGGATGTGAGGTCTACATAGAACTCGGAGAGCTGGGAAACGACACTGCCATGATCTGAGTTTGAAAAGGGTCGAGCAGAAAGTAAGGAAAGGACCAGAGACAGGAAAGAAGACCCCAGTGGAAAGGGCAGGGCCGAGGCGGAGATGGGAAAGGAAGTGACTGCGGAGTTGGAGTTGGAGCTGGAGAGGAAGTAGGGAAGGAGAAAAGAGGGGGGAAGTGGGACTGATTGGAAAATGGGTCAGCACTGGGAAATACGTGAATTCTAAATGAACGGCGTTGTTTTCTAGGCTACGCTGGCCGTACAGAGCTTCCCGATAATCTAAAATCCATGTTCCGTCCAATTGCCATGGTGGTGCCTGACTCTGTCCTTATCGCAGAAATCATTCTCTTTGGGGAGGGCTTTGGCAACTGCAAGGTATTCTGATAATCCCTTTTGCCCAATTATTTTATTTTCCTTCTATAGTTATTCCTTGAACAGAGGAACCCTCTGAAGGCCTTACAATTGGCTTGTCCTGTAAGGAACTGACTATGTCAGTAGGATGTGAGGCAGAAGGGAGGTCTCCCCTCTACAGCGTCGCTAATTGATGATGGCATGAATGACACGATCTTATTATGAGGATTGTCTGTAAAGCACCTCCTAGCTGTTTCAGGTCTGGGACCTAGCTCCTTGTGGGTGGTTTTTTGTTTTGTTTTGTTTTGTTTTGTTTTTATCTTTGCTATAGGGAATGCGTACTCACCAGAGAGAGTCAGAGAGAGAGAAAGAAAATGAGAATCATCCCTGCTGCGGGGATGGCCATGCCACGGTTCTTTCTCCTCCAGTCTCCTCCTGGCATTTTGGGCATGCACGCACGTGCACCTGGTGTGATTCTCAAACTGCTGGGTCCCCGTCTCAAACCACAAAGCTGGCCCCGTGGGATCTAGCACCTTAACCATCACACCACCTGTTGACCCTCCTTGTATCCTTAAGGGGCCCAGATGAAGCGGAAGGATTTATGGAGAGAGAGGTTGCTTCCCCCTCTGTTTGGCTCCTCAGGTTCTGGCCAAGAAAGTGTACACACTGTACTCGCTGGCCGTGCAGCAGCTCTCCAGACAGGACCACTATGACTTCGGCCTGCGTGCCCTCACCTCCCTCCTGCGTTACGCTGGCAAGAAGCGCCGCCTCCAGCCGGACCTGGCAGATGAAGAGGTAGATTGAGGCCACAGCCCTTGGACCTTAGCTGCATTGTCTCTAGTCCTGTGTGCCCCTCATCAAAGTTTTTCAGATCCTTCCTTCTCAAATTGGGTCCCGTCCTCATGTCTTGTCCCGTGTGGCCCGAGTTCTCCCAGCTCTATTGCTAGAGACAGACGCCGCTGTATCCATGTTCTCAGCTGCTGCCCCAAGCCTTTCAGAGAAGAAGAGCCTCATGAGTACCTAGGCCCTGGCTCCTCAAACCCGAGTCTCTGCCTTTCCCCACCCAGGTTCTACTGCTGTCCATGAGAGATATGAATATTGCCAAGCTCACTTCAGTCGATGTGCCACTGTTCAATGCCATCATGCAAGATTTATTTCCCAACATTGAGCTGCCTGTCATCGACTACGGCAAGGTACTTGTTCCTAATACTCTCCCTGGCCTCGCTGTGGATATGCATCCGGGGACAGGGAACGTGGCTTCCAGGCCTTGTTCTGCCATCCACTGGCTGTGACTTTGAGTGAGACGTTGCCTTCTCTTTCAGCCTCCTTTACCTGTAACGTGATATAAACCTATTTGAACGTCGTGCTCTTAGCTCACAGCTCCCTAACCTCATCCTGACTAACCAGCCTCAGAACGTCAATGCTACAATTCTCTGCCTTCACTGAAGTCTTTAAAATCCACTGGCCTTTCCGCTCTCCTTATACCCGTCAGCCCTCTGCCTCTACTTCTTTCCTCATTCAGGGACTTTTAATAAATGCTTACTGATTGGGGCCAGCAGGTGGCACAGTGGTTAAGGCACTGGACTCCCACATAGTCCACTGTGGTTCGAGTCCTGGACCCAGCGCCCTGAAACTCATGCCAAATGCATGTGCATGTGTACAGAAGATCCTGAGAGGAGAATGGAGGAGAAGGGACTACAGCGTGGCCATCTCCCTGGAGGGTGATTTCTCATTTTCTGTCTCTCTGTCTCTCTGTGTCTCTCTGGCAAGCACATGCACCCTATGGCAAAAATCTCTTTTAAAAAAAGTACTAATTTATTCTTCTCATGAGTGAGAGACAGAGACAGGGAGAGGGAGAAGAGAGAGACAGCAACCCCAACAGGGTCCTGGCACTAAGCTCCACCCTCTGCCTCTAGCCAGTCCCGGACCATGAGCAGACGTGTGCCCAGCATACTCAGGGAGGTCTCCAGACTTGAACCAGGAACCTCCCCATATGGGATTGCTTTGCTGAGCATTGTGTTTTACCACTGTACCACTCATGGGCTTTTGAAGAAAGACCGCTAGGAATTGTTTGATATGTGAGAGCTGTGGAGTAGGAGGAAGGAGATATCTTAGGAAGTATAACAACTGTCCTCTCTGGCAGTGTGGTCGTCTACATACCCTGAAGGATCCTTTCAATTAGACCACCGAACTGCTAGGTAACAATTCATCCCTTTAAATGTATTGCTAAGCTGGCAAGAAAGAAAGAATTCTGGGAGTTGGGGAGTGTATTGATAAAAACAGGAACCCCAAGAGGAAAGTGAGTGCCAGAACTGACTTTCTATCTGAACACTTCTGTCCAACTGCAGGCACCAGGGAAAGGAGATAAAGCAGCCCAAGACTGGAGGTATAACGGGGACCCCAGGGCTGCATGAACATCAGTTCATAAGGGACACCTTCGGTAAACGGGAAAATGGAAAAACTGCCACTTAGAGAGGCACTTACAGAACTTGCTAGTCTTGACGACGGATGATAGAAGGAAAGGGTAGAATCTCCCTAGAGATTTCCTAACCGCAAACCAGCCTCCACACGGTTTCCATTTACAATGTATTCTACTCTGTAACTGAAACTCTCAGGCTTAGATTTTAATTTTAAGTAGTTCAGGGTTGTTAGTGCCCCCAGATGACTGGCAGAAGCAAAAGCAAATTATTTCTGGAGGAATTAAAGGTTAACTTATGTCTCAAAGAATTCCCACAGATAAAAGCCCAAGAAAGTGAGTAACTCATGATCGACAGTCACCAAACACACGATGAAACAAAATCCCATGAATGGAAGCCAGAAGATAGACAGCAGAATCAGCCCCATGAAGACCAGAACTGAAATGAATAGGTGCAGAATTTAAAAACAATCATGTTTAAAGAAATTTTAAAAAGGGAGCTTGAGCCAGACAAAAATAGATTTGTGAAAGAGCTAATAGAATTTCTAGAAATGAAAAATACAACAATTGAGAAAAAAAATAACCTCAATAGAGAAACAGAGGACTTCCTGGTAAAGATAGTGGATGAAAATACACTACATCGGGCAAGCAGGTGATATGGTCGTTAAGGTGCTAGACTCCCACATGACTGACCCTGGTTCAAGTCTCGGACCTGGCGGCTTGCTTTCTCACTTTCTCTTTCTCACACATGTGCCCTATACCAAATTTAAAAATAATAATAGTAATAATAAATTAAAATTTTAAAAATGCACTACAACTACACTAAAGAAATTCAGGGAACCAGCAGTTAGCGTAATGGCTATGTCGCTGGACTCCCACGTAGCTGACCGCGGTTCGTGTCCCGGACCCAGTGGCTTAAAACTCACGCCAGGCGCATGTGTGTGCAAGCCCAAGATCCCGAGAGGAGAATGGAGGAGAAGGGATTGTGGCGTGACCATCCCCCCTGGGGGGTGATTTCTCGCTTTCTGTCTCTATGTCTCTCTCTGTCTGTCTGGCGAGCGCATGTGCCCTACAGTGAAAATCTCTCTCTCAAAAAAAAAATTCATTTATTGGGTTGTTGGAAAAGTCATGATGCATTTACACGTCGTGCCTTTTCCAGCAACCCAATATAAGGCATACATACCCAAAGGCATAAGGAGACTGTGAGAAGATTCTGCGAGAACTAAATTGTAGACATAGGAAACAAATTAATAAGCTATGGCTTACTTAGCAAGCTTGAGAAGGCTGAAATGGGAGAAATTGGCAGACAGTTTTCTTTCTTTCTTTCTTTCTTTTTCTTTTTTTTTTTTTAAGAGAGATTTTTTTCCTATAGAGCACGTGCGCTTGCCAGAGAGACAGAAAGCAAGAAATCACCCCCAGAGGGGTGACCATGCCACAATCCCATCTCCTCCATTCTCCTCATGGAATTTTGGGCATGCACGCACACACACCCGGTGTTTTAAGCTGCCAGGTTCAGGATTCAAACCATGGTCGGCTCTGTGGGAGTCCAGTGTTATGCCATCTGCTGGTCTCAGTAGGCAGTTTTCAAAAGGTCAAGAATTTGCAGACTGAGCTACGTCTGTGAGTGACGGGTAGGCGGGGGAGTAGATAAGTACAACGAGGAGGCTCAGAGGCTAGCTGTGTGATTAGCAGTTAGCTCTGCAGATCCCCTTCTCTGTGACTGCAGGGGACTGCGCCTCCTCTGCTTGGGCGGACGACTAGCGGGGAAGACAGTAGGTGTCTGGCCTGGAGAACGCCAGGTACAGATGAGGGCAGCACAGCTGGGGATGACGTGAATGTTTGTGCATTGACTGCTGAGACCTTTGGCCTTTCACCTACCGCTCCCAGAAAGGCGGCAGCCAGACAGGAAAATGGCTAATCTCTCTGGCCCAAGAAGAATGACCAAGACAATGGAGATTTCCCAGTGAAAGTCCCAGATAAATAACCTGGGGTAAATCAGGGTCACTCACAGTACAAGCCAGCCCCCACACTCAGCGGTTCCATTCGGCCTTTTGCCTTCTACTCTTTCACATGAGCGGAAAGCCAAGGCTACCAGATGCCGGGGGAGAGCCTCTAACAGGGAAGGAGGAGGGAGGCAAACTGAAGAAAATGGATCATGGAGAGAGAAGAAGAAAAGTTGCAAACAAACAAACAAGCATAAAAAACCCTCAGATTGCGTGGAGGTTAGGGCTGCTGGATCCCACAGGGCCAACTCCCCAGTTCGAATCTCAGACCAGGTGACCTGAAAAACACAGCAGGCACATGTGAGTGCGTATCCAAAATCCTGAGAAGAGGGAGAAGGGACCGTGGTATGGCCACCCTCCCTGGGGAGTATTTTCTTACTATCCTTCCCACCCCATCTATCACTGGTAAGCACACACACCTGATATAAAAAATTAAAACAAAAGGCAAAAAGCTTTATTAAAAAGCCCTCAGGGGGTCAGCAGGTGGTGTAGACATTAAGGTGCTGGACTCCCACGTGGCTGACCGTGGTTTGAGTTCTGGACCTGGTGGCTTGCTTTTTCAATCTCTCTCTCTCTCTTTGGTGAGTGTGCGTACCCTATAGCAAATTACAATAATAATAATAAATAAAATTAAATAAGTAATTCTTTAAAGAAAAAAGAAAACTTGGTATTCTTAGGAATTGATAAAGTAACCAGAACAAAAAAATCCATAAAGATACAGATTTGAGGGGCCAGCAGGTGGCATGGTTGTTAAGGTGCTTGGGTCCCACATGGCCAGTCATGGTTCAAGTCCTAGACCTGGCAGCTTGAAACTCACACTGGGCATATGTGTGTGTACATGCCCCAAATCGTAAGAGGACCATGGAGAAGGAGTTGCGGTGAGGCCATCCCCCCCAGGGGGTGGATTCTCACTCATCCTCTCTCTTTCTCTGTCTCTCTCA